TCAGATTTAGAGAGTAATACTAAATTTATAACACTAAATTTATAATACTAAATTTATAACATATAATATAATATAATAACGATATGATAATATGTTAATAATTAAAACAAAATGTTGCGAGATAAGGGCAACGATCGAGGCTTGTTGGCATAAGAGACAAGTTGGCATTGCGTTCTGTTTATGTATTTGTGACAATGGAAAAGTTATCGCAAAATATTTCCCTAAGTTTCATTTAAATAAAACAAATATTACAAGTAAAGAAAGAGAAAAATCTGATTCAGAGGAGGCAAATAAATTTTTTAGCATAAATTTTTATAATTTCGTATTAATATCCTTCGACTTGGAAGCAAATCTAAGTGATGTATTATTTAGTTAAAACTTTAAAAGAAAAGTGTCTGTTAGTATACGACATTATTTTGATTAACAATGGTAATTTATTATAATAAAATGATAAAAATTACGTGTGCAAGGATAAGATTTGACTCATATATGTATAAGAAAAAGTCGAGGGTTAAGTTAGGTTAATTGACCTGTACCACACGTTTGAATATTCAATTACAACTTTAATTTTGACAAAATGCTTTATAAGGTAACCAGACCCAATTTGAGCTCTCTAAGATTTGAGAATATTTTTTTATTTTTTGCTGAGGTCAAAATTGAAAATGAATAGTCACATTCGAAAGAGGGAACATTTGTGAACACATTGAAAAAAAATATAAATCATATTCATATATGTATAGATGCAGAAATGTATAGATGTATAAATGTAGAGATTTAAAAGAAAGGTAGCATTTGGAGCACCTTCGCTAAATGTGTACTCAATGAGCCGCGTATATGTTTTCCCTTTTTTCACACAAAAATATTAAAAATATGGAAAATAAAGTGATCCAACGTTACTTTTATAAGTTTATAATTTTATTGCATATAATGTTTATGCATAAACATACTATAATGCATAAACATTTAAAAAAGCTATTTAGCTTTACTTAAACATTAAATCTGTATTAACTTCTCCTTCTTAAAATTGTGCTCGCAGTTCAGACAAGTAAAAGGATCTTTATCATCTTTAATTAATCCTTAACAATCTTCATGAACATATTTGTGACAAATGTTCACACGTATATGCTCGGACATGGCCCTTGGTATCACCATATAAAAAGTTCTTTTTCTTTAATTATAAACAAAACATTGTAACAAAAATATAAATTAAATATATTCTCTAATCTAAATCTAAATCAGTGGATAATCACTGATATCAGTATCAAATATGTCACTAGTAATCAATGAATTAAATGTGAGATCCCTAAATTAGCTAATCTTTAATGTGTGATCTAACTGATCTTGTTTTAATGTTTAAATTCAATGAATATGGTATTGAAAGATTGAAATTAATGCAAATATCAGTATTTTATAATGCTCGTTTAACTAAGAAAGTAAGAATGTTTGAGGAAGAATGTTTGAAGTTTTTCATTGATTATCAATGCAAAGTATGCCACTAGATAATTAGTGACTACTGATTCAGATTTAGAGAGTAGTGTTGTAAAGTATGTGTTGAGTGATACGAGATTATTGTCGTGCACGACCATGCGATTCTTTCCGCCAAAAGGATCGGACACTTCAAAGATTATTTAGAGTCTTAAATAACAGTCATATATCATTGGAGTCTGTGATCCTTTTGCTGCGTTTGTCGCAAGTTACCGATCCGCCGTCTTCTGATTGGTCGAAATCCAATCATATACGAATAGGAGAAGAATCGGTCACACAAAATTTGAAAAAGTCAATCTTTCGAGAAAAGATAGCGAAGAAATAGTAAGTCTGTTAAACGAGCGCGAGTCCTATGATTTCGAAGTGCTGAAGTCAGTTAAGTCAGTTCGATCTTAGTGTCCGCAAGTATTACCCTCGCGACTCAGGGTTTTCCCCTAGGCGAAGTTATCGTGAATCAGGGCTTTAGCCTCCAGGCGCGAAAGTGTCCGACCAGGCGACTCAGGGTAACAATCCCCAGGTGCAGTCGAAATAGTATTAACAGTAACTAATAGTGATAAGTAACTGAGAAACTGTACGATAAACAGAACAGTGTACACAAACAAATAAACAGTTTTTTCAAATCGAAACCACACATTGTGTTATCACATTGACGTGAACAATATAAATATAGAAATTTTAATAACATGACCTACAGAAATTAATAACCACGTTTTCATGATTACAGAAAGCAATTACTTATAGTATATTACATGACCACGATGTATCAGTTTTTTCTTATTTTTACACAAACAAAATGAATAATATATTTATGAATCGATGCAATCAAGTTGTGTGGATTGCCTGCTCAAATTACTACTGTCATCTGTTAAATTAATAATTAATCATATAATTATGGCTACGTTTACACTATACATTTAGGCCGCAGTCGATGTCCTTGTTTATTAATCCCTGTAATTTAAACAAAGACACCTATCGTATAGGTCGCGGATTAAACGTACAATGTAAACGTAGTCTATATACAAACAGCGAGTGGTCCTTAGGGAATGGCCTAAATTGGATCCGGTTGTTTATTTAACATTTTTTAAATAAGGTAGAACTAAAATAATTTATATTTGTTTTTCTGTAATAACATTTTATTATTTAATCATCACGAAATAACTTTAAAAAATACAATTTTTACTAAGAAGTACATATCCGATTTTTATTTCTATTACTTTTCTATTACGTTTTTGTTAATTTAATATAGTTTATCATAGAGAAACAACTTATATCATAACATGTACTGTAATTTATCCCACATATTGGGGCAAGTTAACTATAATGCAATATGTTCATATTTCATTTATTGCAAAGAAACTGTACAAGATAGAGAACCATTACTGATATGAAAACATAGAGAAAGGTTCTCTTTATCATATCAATATATTTTAATCATAATAATTAATTGTTTAAAAAATCTGATGCCGAAATTGTAAAAACTGTGCCAAAAAGCTAGCTCCTAGTCTTTCCTACTTCACAGATTATCAAAAGTGAATCTGCTATACATCGAGTATAGTATATGTTTTCTGGTTTAATTCAAAATTATATATTCAAATCACATCTTAAGCCAGCTTGGTTATTAAAATATCATGATTAATTGGTACAATTATGTTTGATTAATGATTAATTACATTATCTTTCTCAGTCCTCGAACGCGCTCTGCATTTCCGTAGAAATTATTGTCCCATCCACATGTTATTATAATCGACGCTATTATATAACGGAAGTTATATAGTCTTTTGTTCGACCACAGTATAGTTGTCAATGTTTGAACTATTAAACATGTTGATCATGAAATCTTTATCTTCTGGTAATAGTATCTTTAAAACTAAAGCATAATCTTTGACAGGAAATTATCATAAATATCTAGAATTTCTACAAAAAAATATAAAACATGTAAAATCTTTTCCTGTTAATAATAAATTTAAAGTGTGTAATATTTTTTAAGACTATTGCCGTTCGGATTCGACATTAAACCGTAATTCCCATATATATATATATATATTAGAGAATATATGGGACATACAATTTATGAATCCCCCAGGCTGGGAGTTGGATATTAAGCTAACAACCTAATTCCAGAAAAAATTCGTCGTTATAAAAAATCCTGAGAAGTAAGTTTTGGTTTATCGTGAACTGTAATGCCGCGAAAGAAGAAGAATATTTTTTAAGATTTAGAAGACAGAAGATTCTTTAAATTCTTTCTAAATTATTTTTTATATCTAAAATATTTGAAATAAAAATTATTTAAAGGATCTTAATATAATTATAGCAATTTAAAATATTGTTATAATTTTTACACACCATCCAAACATTCAAAAAACTATTTGGATAAAAAATTAAAACAAATTTAAAATATTTAGAAAAATTTTTATTCAAAAAATAAAAAAAATTTTTAAGAATTTTAAGTACGTATGTGTGAATACATCAAATACGATAAAGAAAGCCAAGAACTGTCAAATTGGGATATTTCAAATGATATAATTTATAAATTCTTATATTAAATTAATTTTATTTCAGATATGATTGAGAGCCGAAAAACTTTCGGTTTCAACACAATCATTCTAAAATGCTAATAATTCCCCTAAATTAGAATAGAAAGAAAGAAAGTAAGAAACTTATTGCGAAAAATATTACTGAAGCCTCTCAGTGGTCGAGCTGGCTAAGACACTCTTCCCGGAAAGTTGAGAAGTCCCAGGTTTGAATCCTGGCTTCAGTAATATTTTTCGCAATAAGTTTCTTTCTTTCTTTCTTTCTATTCTAGCGTTTCAGAATGATTGTGTTGAAACCGAAAGTTTTTTCGGTTCTCAATCATATCTGAAATAAAATTAATTTAATATAAAAATATATAACTAATTAAAAATTAATTTAATATAAGAATATATATTATTTGAAACATCCAAATTTAACCGTTCTTGGCTTTCTTTATCCTATTTGAATAAAAAAAAAATGTTTACTGCTAGAGTCTTTAAAAATTAAATAACTTTTGTTGAAAATAAATATCAATGTAACAAATAACAAAAAATTTGTTGCTGTGAAATAAAAAATTTGTTAAGTAATATATTTCAAAAGAATGTTTCGTCTTTTTAAATCGTTTATCAGTGAAATAAGAAAATACGACTTTCTGCACGCAGTACGGATATGTGCCGATTTGAAGTGAAAAGAAATGTTCACTCTCGGGATACTTCCTTGACTCACGAGTACAGTCTAGAAAAATATCAGAGATATCTTTTGAGAAGATCCGAGGCTTAGAAGGAAATCGCGCACGAGTGATCTCGTGAACTCGAGAACGCGATGTTGCCGTCGTCGTCACGGATTAAACCTCGTCGTGCGGGAGTGAAATCACCGGGCGCGAATCGAGCCATTAATACAGGGCAGATTAGTCGCGCTCTGCAGCTCGCGTGTATTCCGACCACGTTTTTCCGGTTATATGATCTTGGCCTGACTCTCGACCCGACTTTGTCATTACAGTGACAATGACAGATGCGGAAGCAGTGGCAGGCGGAATTGCTCAGCTACCATGCGACGTGAAACCACCACTCTCGGGGGACAAGCTGCACCTAGTTATTTGGTATAAGGAGGAGGCAGATGCACCGATATACAGGTAAATTCTTCTTCTTTCATTTCTCTACCTTTCTCCCATTCGCTCGGTCTTTCTTCTTATGTTGATCGCGTGCAATATCGTACCTGCTTTTCGAATACAAAATCGCGTACAGTCGCGTGCTCATTATTATTACAACAGCGTTTGACGCTGTGAGTTATTTGCAGATTTCGCATTTTGATATCTAACTTTAGATGAAATTAGCATAAAGGATTTAAGTTTCTCATTTCTAAATATTTTTGCTGCATTGCTTATTTAAAAAATTTCTAAAATATCGCACTGGATTTAATTAAATTTTTTTTATCTACATAAAGAAATAAAGGAAAAATTAATTGGATTGATGCATAACAAAAAGTATGATTTATTACCTCGTTGTTTTCTCTGACAAAAGTAATTTGATCTAAACTTTTTACTGTATTTATTTTACTAATATGTTTACTTTTACATACATAAAAACTGCATTCACTTTGTCAATTTTTAGTCCTTAAGTCCTTAGTATTTTATATACGTATATAATGTATACATATGTACAATTTTATATACTGATTTAAATATCTAACACAATAATTCTCTTGCACATATTTAAACATCGCTATGCAGCACTTACGGTATGTGAAATGATAATATCACGTATGATATATATATATA